GACCTCTAGGAAGAACAGTTTAGAACTGATAGATCTATCCAGTATAAATAAAGTTAGTTTAGTTTAGGTTTCCTCCTGTAGTAACACTGGATCAATAAGAGATGATCCTTACTGGATCTCTAGGAAGAACAGTTTAGAACTGATAGAGCTATCCAGTATAAATAAAGTTAGTTTAGTTTAGATTTCCTCCTGTAGTAACACTGGATCAATAAGAGATGATCCTTACTGGACCTCTAGGAAGAACAGTTTAGAACTGATAGAGCTATCCAGTCTAAATAAAGTTAGTTTTATAGTTTAAGTTTCCTCCTGTAGTAACACTGGATCAATAAGAGATGATCCTTACTCGACCTCGAGGAAGAACAATTTAGAACTGATAGAGTTATCCAGTATAAATAAACTTAGTTTAGGTTTACTCCTGTAATAACACTGAATCAATAAGAGACGATCCTTCCTGGATCTCTGGGAGAACAGTTTAGAGCTGATACAGCCATCCTTGAAGTGTTAACACTGGATCGGTAGTAGATGACCCATACTGAACTTCTGTGGAGAATGATTTAAATCTGATAGAGATATACCGGAGTATAAAACCAACATAGTCACCACAAATTATTGTAAAATTTTTCAGACCTTACTGAACAACAAGGAGTCGTATCTTGGGTCTATGCTTTCAGCCTATCTTGTCCTGGTCGTTATGGCTGTACTGGCATTTAAAGTGGCTGGTGGAAGTTTACAAAATCTTCATTCAATCTTTGCGAGAAAACTGCCGTCAGACATGCGCAGTGAGGACGTCACAGTAGTAAGCCCAACTACGTAGGATGTTGATGGATATCTTGGGATAGTGGTAAGACGTGTCTGAGGATAGGTAATTTTTTGTCCGGTAAAAATGATTGTAAATACCACATGTACTAGTGACTTATATTTTATCTACTAAGTAGTACCAATTAGTCTGTACAGTATAAGAAATTACTAATTTACTCGGAGTGGCCATACGTAATGAACTACAGATTCAGAAGTCTTGATATTTTATAGTTTTAACTCATCGCATGCAATTAAATATACTGTATGTGAGTTGTGATCAAATTTGGCTGGCTTTGTTCAGCTGTTGACATTTCTGATGAATTTGTTACTGCACATAAATGTAAAAAATAAGTATAAAAACCACAAGTTATTGTATAATGTTTTAATTTAAACACACAAAACTCAATAACTACATTATAACTTAATTAGTTAAGAACATACATACACCTTCATCCCAAATTGTCATATATATACATAATATCAACCTGGTTCCAATGCCCTATTTACTACGTTATTATCTGTCCTTGAGTTAGAAATATGTGTTAGAAAACTATTTGCCGACGTGATCGGTGATGAATCATCATCACTGATATCTATAGGTTCGGATGTGTCTGGATGGATAGTGGTGCAATCTGTGGACAGTTGGTTAGTCGTGGTTGTATCTGTGGAGTTTGGGGTAGCGTTTGGGTTTGTTTTCATTTGAGACAGATTTGCTCTGGCTTCCTTGGCCATTTGTTTGGCTTCTGAAAATAAAAAAAAATATTAATAATCAATGCAGTGAACTTTTAATTTTTTAGACAATCTTTTCATGTAGTTCAGACACAAACCATGGCATGCTGTTATTAATTTATGAGCAAGTTTTTCAGAGTATATTATACCTTCTAACATAGTTTGCTTTTCCTTCAAGAGAGCAGCTTTCTCATCAGCCAAGTAGATTCTGTTGACCATGACGACTTCAGCAGAGGGTACATCTCGCTAAATAGCAAAGTTGAAATTTAGTTTATTTATACTGGATAGCTCCATTGTTTCTAAACTGCTCTCCCTGGAGGTCCTGTTAAGGCCCGGTCACACTACACAACGATAACGACACGATGAATTGTAAACACGTGATAATTGGGGAAAAAATTGTGTTAGTGTCCACACTACAACACAAATGATAAAATTATCATTTGATGATGATTTTAAAATCGCTCACCCGAGCGATTTTGTTTTCAGTCGGACGACAACGATAAATTTTTTACCAATCAGCACACATACTGTATGCAAGTTATTGTATCATAATCATTGTGTAGTGTGACCTGGGCTTTAGGCTCACCTGCATGTCACTGAGCAACAACTGTCGATATTTATTTATCATCTTGTCACTTTTATGTGTCAGCTGTAGCGCTAACTTGTCTAGTAATGCGTTTGCTGAAATGAAAATGACATTTATGTTGGAAATTGTTTTAGTATGTCAACATCGTCATAATTATCCATCGTCACCATCATCATAAGTATCCACCACCATCATCATAATTATCCACCACCATCAAGATAATAAATTATCCACCACCATCATCATAAGTATCCACCACCACCATCATAAGTATCCACCACCATCATCATAATTATCCACCACCATCATCATAAGTATCCACCACCATCATCATAATTATCCACCACCATCAAGATAATAAATTATCCACCACCATCATCATAAGTATCCACCACCATCATCATAATTATCCACCACCATCAAGATAATAAATTATCCACCACCATCATCATAATTATCCACCACCATCAAGATAATAAATTATCCACTGGTCATCATCATAATTATCCACCACCATCATCATAATTATCCACCACCATCAAGATAATAAATTATCCACCACCATCTTCGTCACCACCAACCACCGTCATCACCACCATAATTAACCACCACCACTATAACGTACTGCTTTCTTGACAACCTTCATGTCCTACCTTTATGTTGCATTCTGGCGTTAGGAATAGGTTCAGAATATACATGATATGGTGTGAGACATGTGATTGCATCTTGCTGTGATTTGAATGGTTTATGTATATCAGTGAAACAAACATCATTCTGATCCTTTTGTACAGTTAGTTTCATCCTTTAAGGAAAATTAAAAAAATATACATTGTCATTTTTCAAGCAGCAGTTTTTTCCCAAGTATGGTTGTGCTACCCCAGATGGGAAATTTCAAATTGAAAATACCTTTTTATCAACTTCGATTCCTCCGTTTCCACTGCTTTGATTGGCCGCTTTGTATTTTTTGTTACTTCCTGAAACAAATGGAGCAAATAAGTTATATACCTTACAGTGCATAAATTACGGGAACCACTGAGTATTTTGATAAAATACAAAACAATAGATACTCCGAAAATTAAAAGCATTTTTTTCTTTCTTTCAATTTTCGGAGTATCTATTGTTTTGTACTTTACAGTGCATTGCAACAAATACTTCTTCTCAACACAATGAGATCCTAAATGATAACATTGAATGTGAAGGCACGGTACCTGTTTGGTACTCGGAGTTTTTGCTGTGGCTGGTAAAACTTTCTGGTTAACCTGTACATGATGGCAAAGAAAAAACAGTTACTGATATTCAAAACATTAGTGTTATCATGGTTTGCACTAGACATTGCGAGGTGCGTAATTCCTGTATTCCCCATAGAAAACGTTTTCTGCAGTCACGTTTTTACAGAAAACCCAATTTGAAAAAGAAACACACTTATGCTTCTTCAATCATTAAGCTGCAGAGCTTCCCCATTGACAAATAAAATCGTCTGGCATTAGACAAGTAAAAAAAAATAAATGGGGCACATTGCAGCTCAATGGGTTAAATAGAGACATTGTTAGATTTTTTGGTTAACCATTAAGCTGCAGAGCTTCCCCATTGACGAGTAAAATCGTCTGGCATTAGACAAGTAAAAAAAATAAGTGGGGCACATTGCAGCTCAATGGGTTAAGAAAATTGAACTGGTATAATATTTACAGTGTAACAATTTTAATTATAATTTAAATTAAGGTTAACACATGACAATTCAAACTAAGAATAGTTACCGGTAAAACTCACCAATTTGCAAACTCATTAATTCACCCAGTGTTGGACTTTGAAGTGCAGAAACAATTGAACTGCTAATATTTATCCTTACCTTAGGAGTAGTTGCTTCAGTCTTCACAACCACCTGTGGCTTAACCGTTGTTGCTGTTGTTGTAGTAACAGGAGCTGCTGTAACCAACTTTCCTTGTATACTCAAATTCTTACTGGCTAACTGCGCTTGAATCTGCCTAAACTGCTCTTGCGAGAGTAGTATTGGCCTCCCCTCTTTGGTCTGTAGCAAAACTTTGGGTTGTCCAGGAGTGAGTGTCGGCATTGAATTAGCATTTTGAACTATAACCACTTTCTGTGTGGTACCGGTAACTGGTTTTTGGTTGGACGTCTGGATATTGGTACCAGCAGATAGTGTGGTGATTTGTGTTACTTGACCAGTTGATGGTATACTAATGACCTTCTTTGGGTTAGGAATTACAGCTGGTTTTGCTATCTGGGTTATATTAGTTGTAACACCTTTCTGTAAATGAGTTATGCTTGACACAGCAGGTTTTTGTAGTTGGTTTACATTTGCGGTCGGTTTTGCTAGCTGGTTTATTACAGCGGGCTTCTGAAACTGGCCAATAGTTAAAGATGGTTTTTGGTTTAGATTTATAGTACTTTTCTGCAACTGTGTAACAGTTTGCAACTGGTTCACTGTACCCTTTTGTACCTGCGCAATTGTCGCTGTAGGTTTCTGTAATTGTGTTACGGTTTTAACAGGAGTTGCACTACTGACAGTCACTGTATTCCCTGAAACACCCTGTTGTCTGGCATTTACTGCCAGACCAGCCTGTCTCATGTTCAGTTGCTTCAGTTGTTGTGCCACAATTGGGTTCTTTTCCAAAAACTGTTGAAGTTGTTTCGTGTTGATTGCTTCTTTTAGTTGAGAGGCTAGGTTTGCAGCATTGAGCGTAATTTGGGATGAAGGGACTTGAAGTTTGACCTGTTGGGTAGGCATTGTGGTATTATTGGTGTTTAATGGTGGGGATTTCATTTGGAGTAAGGCCATGTTTTGTTGTTGCTGTTGTGTATGCTGCTGTTGTTGTTGTGAATGTGATTGTGTATGTTGCTGTTGTTGTTGTGTATGTGCTTGTTGTGATTGTGTAAGTTGCTGTTGTTGTTGCTGAGCTTGCCGTACTTGAAGAGCTTGCTGTACAAGTTGATTCTGTTGTATTAGTTTCTTCAACTGATTCTGTTGCACAAAAAGCTTTTGCTGTTGTGCTGAATTGTCTTGACCCAAATTCGTACCCTGCTTCAAATCTTTCTGCCCAGCATTTGTCTGAACTCCAAATTGACCTTGTGCCAATAAACTTTGAAGTAATGCTGTCTGCACTTGCAGATCTTGTGTTAGCTTCGCCTTTCCAATTTGAGCTGTAGAAACTTGCTCTGGCTTTGGTGCAATTTGCTTGGGCTGTAGCTGAACCAAACTTGCTAAACCAGACTTGCCGACTGCTTGGTTCTGCATTCCTTGTTTAAGATGTGGCACAGTTAATGTGTTCAAAATCTGTTTTGGCAATTGGGGTTGCCCTTTTCCTCCAAGAGTGAATGTGTTTTGTACGGCTTGTTTTGGCCTAGCTGTAGAATTTCCACTGTTTGTTTGACCATCAAGTCCTGAACCGCTTGTATTTGGTTGGGCAATTACAATTTTTGGTCGAATTGCGACTAACTGTGGTTGCCCTTTCATCGGAGTAGTTTTGGGGCCTTGAGTTAGAACATTTCCTTGTATAGTAATTTGCGAATTGTTTTGCGCTCCAGGAATTAATGTGTTTTGTGGCCTAGGTGCTATACCCTTTGGTCTTAATATTGGCAAGGGCGAGCTCTTTAGATTCTGAGGTCGGACTGTAGCACTGAGCCCTGCTTGAGGACTGGCAACAAGTCTAGGTGGGGTTGACTGTTGGGTAACGCTTTGTTTAGCCGATGCCACAGTAGGCTTTGCGACAGTCAACAAAGGAACCGAACTGGTTGACAGAATGTTTCTCGCTTTGCTTGCATCACCAAAACCAAACGAAAGTGGCACATTTGCAGGTTGTGATGAAGGAATGCCTATGGTTAATGGCTTAGTAGATCCCAAATTGTTCACGCTTTGAATACCCGAAGTTACCAAGTTGTGATTGTTTGAAGCTAGATTAATACTTCTTGAGTTACTGGCAGTTGTTAAATTGCTTGTCCCAGTGTTAGTTTGTACACCATTATTTATCGATGAGGCCTTATTGCCCAAAAAGTTCCCCGGAGCATTTCCAGCATTAGACAGGAATGAAAGGTGAGCCAAAGGTGTACTTTGTTTATTTATATGTGCACTCGATGTCGAGATCGACTGTGACGGTTGATTGTTTGATGATTGGGAGTTGGTGGTTGAAAATACAACATTGTCATTTCTTGAAATATTGTTAGTTGTTCCTTGTTTCTGTAAAATAGACAATAATGAGAGTTTAAAAATTAACTAACTTATTATTTTATACTGGTTGCTGTACATCTCTATTGTTTCTAAACCATTCTCCCTAGATGTCCAGTAAGGGCCATCTCTTACTTGCTCCAATGTCAGTACAAAAAGAAGCTTTAATATTGGAAGTGCCACCTATCCCTTGTGGTCTAATGTTACTATGGATTAAACTGGAAGCACTCTTCTCTCAAACCGGAAAAAGCAGGGTGTCCACAGGCCTTGAATATCCTGGAAAGTCCTTGTATTGGAAAAAAAATCCAGGACTGGAAAGTCCCGGAATGAATTTCCTTAACCTCCAGCTGTGTGCCAACATTAGTGATTTTGATTAAAATTACTGAATAAAGTCAATTATTTACGGCAAATCTGTGTCATTTTCATTTCAAGATTTTCCCCAGCTCTAGGTCCTTGAATTTACTGAAAAAGGGCATTGAAAGTCATGGAAAATCCTTGAATTTCACCTTCGCCAAAAGGTGGACGGCTGCATATTGTACAAAAACAGCTGCATATTGCAGGGTAACTCGACTTGCAGAAGTGAAAAAAAACCCCATACATACAGTAACCACTGTGCTACAAATATCATTGCTTTACTTACATTATCAGGTTTATCAGTTAAAGGTGGAACTTTACCCTCCACAAATGCAAGCTGTTTAAAAAAAAAATTGATGGCCATTAATAACCCACTGAGCACCAATACTTCCCCCTTGACAAGTAAATCGACTGCATGGGTTTAGAAAGAGTAAAAGAACAAAGTAGCTAGGGTCTGTTAGGGTGCACCATTGCTTAACCGGGTTGACATGAGACATTGCACGATGGTCTGCTTAAAGGTATGTTTAGTACACACTGTGATTTGTCAGGTACAATTCATATTCTGGTGTATGTATAATCAAAAACACACAAAAAAAGTGGTTGCGTTTAAAATTTTGCCATAAGCTAAATGAAGAGGAATTTTGGTGTCAGCACTAATTTTCACATGCCAGAATATGAACCATACACACCAAATCGCAGCGTGTAAACGTACCTCGATCCACCATCTAATGCTATCCCTTTTGGCAAGTAAATTGCCGGGCATTTAGACAATTTTGAATGACAAATTTGGGTGCATTGTGGCTTAACGGGTCAATTCGGTTTCCCCAAATAAGGTTCAAATATTGAACAGGATAACGCAGCGGGCAAAAACCAAACAAGACATGCAAAACACCACTTTCAAATATTAGTCCTGCACACACATTGAGCTCAGTGGATCCGTTTTGAATTTATAATTTGGCAAACATGAAATAATATACAAACCTGACTTGTGCTTCGAAAAAACTCTTTCAAGGCTTGTGGGTCACTATATTTGCAAACAAAAACCACAATTGTGACCCAACTACAATTTATAAGAATAAAATGGGCAAATTTGGGCAAAATTTCATATAAAAGGAGCGAAATTTTATATGCTAAATTATGCTAATTTATTTACCTGATCACGTCTAATAAGCATTTCCCATCATCCATTGCAGCGCCGACACTGCATTTTCTGAAATGCGAAAAAGTGTGAGTTTTTTGCCGATCGAAAACCTAGCCAGTTCTCTAATACGGCCAAAAATACTTAGAAAAGCGATTTGAACGAAAACCACGTAAAAACAAACAAAACTAAGCGCGTAGAAGCGGAATTTGTTGAGTCATTTTGACCGGCTGGCTACGGCCAACTTAACACAGAACCTAAAATTAACACCAAATCACCCCGAAATAAGTACCCTAAACCCATAGCCATTTGGAGAAAACTTTTATACACATTCTAGTTTAATATCTAAAGATTTTCCCGCCGAAATCGGCGATTTTTGGCGATATACGGCCCTGTACAGGCCCATACGGCAATAATCGATCGATGGCCGAGTCAAAAATTTGACTTTTATCGCCGATTTTCGACTTACCGTGGAAATCTAAGCTTGCCTGTAGATAGCCTGAGCCCTGATTTGTTCTCTAACTTGCCAAGGATCCCGTTTCCCCACTTTTCTAGGCGAAAATTCAAAGCCACGCGATCGGCGCCAGTCGTACTGTTTCGATTTTCAGCCAATACGATGAGGGGACTCCGAGCCCTGCAAATATGACGTCATTTCACTTCCGCGACCGAGGTTTGTGCCGGGTCCGTTGCTTTTGAGGCCCGAACGCGTGGCTCGAGCGGTATATAGTTATTATGACAGAATGAGGAAACAATGTTAATTTTTTTATTTTATAATAGCTGTTAGAGTGCTGGTTGGCTTGTACTTATCGTTGATTACATAGAAATGAGAGATTTAGTTTTAACGACGTGCTCCTTCAGCTCTACGAAGCTAACTACCATTTATTTATAAAACCACGAATTTACGAGAAAATTATACATGGTTAGCGTATAGCACATACACTAGTGAAAACCACTTTCATGGAATTTTCCTATAAAGGGCAAAAATACACTGATTTTCCAAAAATTGCAACGTAATTTATTCATCATCTCGTCACGCGTGTGCGTGACTAACGCGCGTGATGATAAACACGCGTGGTTCCTTCTTCAGAAACTTCGGGGCAGCCATCATGGTTTCTCAGGGCCGAAGAGATTTTCAGGGGCTCCCAGGATCTGATTCAGGGGCGAAAAATACTATTTCTCTTCCTCAGAGCAAAGGTAAAATTTATGTTTAAATTTGGTCACATTTCACTGCTATTTTACAGCAAATTCGTATAGGTTTTATACGATTTTGGAAAGCAGTATGTGACATATATTTGGGCGAAGTTTTGTGGCCTATTTCAAAGTAGAAAGATATGTTTCCCTTCCCAAAGCTGGCATGAACTTTTTGCCTTTCCCGTTGTAGTTTCCCGTTGTATTTTGCTTGAGAAATAGAGATTTTCTGGTCTAGTTTTTGAAGGATGCATTTTTTTATGAAATTAATAGGATGCATATTTAAAAAATTACCCCCCTGGGTTTATGAATGTATTTAACATTTGAGGAACAATATAGCAATATTGAACTTTGTGATATATACATGTTGTAGCAAATATTTTTTCGATGTTGCTATTAAAAATTCCCAGAATATGCCCTTTCGGAAGCTGTGATCCTGATTGGCTTTCTCCATTTTCAAACCTGCCAACCTCCAACCGCAACGAATCTGGAGATCTGATAGAAAATTTCTTGAGATTGATCTCTTATTTCTGGAGATAAAATGCTGAAAATGTGGGGTATTTTCTGGATAAGACAATTACTGTAATAATTGCTTGTAGATGACTGATCCTCAACAGTTTACTTACAAATTCAACCTGGCCTTAGTCTATACGAGTGATCTTACTAATTCGGGATACAATTCCAATTTGTATCCCACACACCCCTGTCGAATTGGAATTCCTTGGAATTCCAGAGGAAGGGGATGTTTTTCAACCATGCACTGACCCGCATTTTCAACCTTGCAAATTGCTGGGGGGGGGG